CTTTCTTTCTTTCTTTCTTTCTTTCTTTCTTTCTTTCTTTCTTTCTTATCTCTAACATTATCCATCAGGGTCCCACCAGCCCTCCAAGAGAAGATATCTCTTGTAATAACCGTAGTCAAGCAAATCAAATCAACCTATTGGGTGTGTTAGAAAGAGTATGTCTCAATCTGTACCTATAATCTATTACTTCTTTCCCAAGAGGATGGATGCAGGCTTCATCATCAGTCTTCACTTAATTGATCAAAATTCTGAATTCTCAAGGTTTTTTCCCTTTATATTATGATTTTCCTTGTGTATATTATTCTTTTGGTTCTACTCACTTCACTCTGCATTAGTCTGAACAAGTTTTCTCAAGTTTCTCTGATTGTGTCACGTTAATAATTTTGTAGGGTGTGTTATTGTTTCATTGTATTCACATACCATGATTTCTTTAGTTAGTCTTCAATTGATTAGGACATACTTTCTTACCAGTTGTATTTTTTTTTTTTTGCTATAAAATATCTTTGTATATGTGGGTCTTTTTTAAAGCTCTTTTGGGTATATGGCAAGCAGTAGTTTTACTGCACCATTTTCCCCAGAGATTTATTACATAATACTCTTCTTCATATTCTTTATGGTTCAGCCAAATTGACCTACTTGCTCTACTTCAGACATGACATTCCATCTCTTGTATCCATGAATATATCCCCCATACCTGGAATGTACTCCCTTCTCATTTTTACCTCTCAGAACACCTAGCCTCAATCAAAGCTCTACTCAAGTACCACCTTCTACCTTTTCTTATCTTTCTCCCCTCTTCCCTGGCTATTTGTGCTTCTTTCTCCAAAATTATCTTATATTTGCTTTGGATTTGTTCTTTGTCTACTTATATGCCTGTATATTATCTTACCCCACTCCCCCTAAGAAGGAAAAATCCTTGCAGTCAGGGATGCTTTGGGGGATAATCAAATATAAGATTCAATCCTCGCTGTCTATAAGATTATAGAATAGTTGGAGGAAACAATATAAAGAACAACAGGTGTAAATGTTACTGGCCAGTATATGCTCTGTGCCCAGAATAGTACTAAGAGTAAATTCTGTTCTCTCAGACTAATTCTGGGATAGGTCAGTTGGCAGCTGGTGCTTGTAGTAAATGGAAGTGCTAACAAGGTACTGTCTCCCAAAGAAATCAGTAGCAAACCTAAGAAAATCATCATTTACCATTAAATTCTGCACTCTTCCCCCATCCCTCACATTAAATGTA